AAATCCGGCTGAGCCAACCCAATACACTCATACGTGGAGCTCTGGTGACGTGAGGAGAGTCAAAAATGCTTTGTGTTGTGGGAGAGCATCCTTAGGAATGGATATTGTCAGGAAAACATCAAACCATGGCTTCCGAAAAGCACCAGAGCTCGTGGATCATGTTTCCACTTCAGTCATTCTGATTCTAGATTCTCTTACAAAAGATATTTGAATAATCATTTTGAGAAAAATCATCATTTTACTGTGGAACTGAAAGTCTTGCTTAATATTAAATAATTCCTAACCAGCTCTGTTATTTATAGGAACTATGGATGGGAATTGGCGGCACTTCTTACCTGAGACAGAGGATACCTGAGAGAATTATGTCACATGTAACCTCAGCTGATAACATATTTTTGCTATCCTACAAGGATATTTTCAGATATTATGAACATTTTAGATGATAAGGAAAATGGTTGATAGCTAAAGGGCTTTATTTTCTGTACTAGGCTCATGCTTAACACGAGCTTACATGGAGAATTACTTTGTGAAAGGGTAACAGATGACAAACAGGGATTTAGAAATGAGCAGTCAGTATCTATGGAGTCTGTCAGGTCAAATATAACACAATTCTCTGTGGTAGCTCTTAGAGATGTGCCGATAGTGGTTACAGAACAGAGTATTTCTGAATTGTGCTGGGTGCTGTACAAACAGGGAAGAGAAGATCCTTTGCAAGGTGAATGCCCCAACCTGACAGACTGCGATCTGTCAGACCAACATGGGCTGAAAGAGATTAGCAGAGGTCTCTGCTCCATTCGCCATGCTGACCAGGGGGAAAATAACCCTATTTATTTGTTTTCACCTTTTAGTTAAAATACACTGAAAGCCTACTGCTTCCATCCTTAGACCAAGTCTTCTTCATGTAAATCTTAAGTGGTTATATTATCAGACTGTATTGATTAGTTTATTAAAAAAGAAGATGAGTCACCTGCCTTTCACAGACCTTTCCTTACATCTTCCTGGTGAGATCTTCTTGTTTCCTTGACAAATTCTCTGGTGAAGCTTTGGAACAGGTTGGAACAGTTGCGGATGGACGTATTCAAGGGGCTTTCAGCAACCTGGTCTGGTGGGAGGCATCCCTGGTCATGGCAGAGGGGTTGGAACTAGATGATATTTAAGGTCCCTTCCAACTCAAACCATTCTATGATCCATGATTCTATGATCTGGGTTGCCTGTTGATCAGCTGGAGACACTGTTGCCTTCTGGCCACCTCTCTAAACATCTCTCCTACCTTGGCAGGGGACAGGTTATGGGTGAGATGAATCATTTGGGATACCTCCTCTCAAGAGACCTGTGGTCCTGTAGTCCCCCGACCAAAGCTAAACTTGTGTCTAATCAGGTACATGCTAGACTATGTTAAGAGCATGAAGATATATACTGAGGAAGAGGAGGCTCGTGGACTTTGGAGCCTCTCTCACATCACCAAAGTGGAAAAAAAAAACATGGACTGGGTGAATCCCAGGCTTTAATTCAGTTTATCAGCTTCTGTCTCTCTGGAGCCCTGTTCAGACTAAGATAGACATGCATTCACATGTCAACAGGATGAAAGCAAAGCTGTTTTCAGAAGATATCTGTGACCCCAAGCTGCCAAAGATAGCCTTGCACCTACTTTCCCTGGCTGGAAAAGCAGTGTTCTTACTGCAACACATACCAAAGAATCAACCAACTCTCATTTAAGAGTTTTTTCCTAGAACAGCTTTTTTTGTTGTTTTTAACCTTAGATACTGCTTAGTGGCTGTAAAGGGAGAGGGATTAATGATATGGCCAGTTGCTCCAAGTATGGGAATACACTTGTGCACTTCTCAGGTGCATCTCATGTTTCTTTTTGGCCCTCGGGCACATCCACGTGTTTTCAGTGTCAGCTCCAGATTCCCTCCCATCTCACCCAGTAACACCACATCCAGCTCCCAGAAGCTGACATCCTTCTGGTCAATGCTTTCTTGATCTTGTCCTCTTGGTTGTTGCTGTGGTATGAGAATTACAACCGCTTCATCGCCCCTGACTGCACAGCGTGCTGCTGGAGGTGATATATATGGAATTGCAGAGCAAGAGTCTGAGTTGCCTGATGGTTAAATAAAAAAGGATAATTAAGATGTGGAGGGGAGACAGATCAGGTCTGTGTAACCGTAGCTGAAGGGTTTTCAAGGCAAGACTTTGACTTGCCATGAACTGAGGTGCATTAAGGCAAAACATAATTTTAAGAAAATAACGGTCATCATAGTGAGCTAGAGTCACTTTCCTGTTCCCAGAGGTATTGTATAGGTTCCCAGTCCAGTTTTAATCTCAGGCTAGATGACACAGGTCCCTCCAGGTGTCCTGTCAAGCCCTTAGGGTCTGGTATCCCCATCCAGGCCCTGCTCAGCTAGCAGTGGTTGGAGAGGTTTATGTGACAGCTGCAGTTGTGGCTGTGCCAGGGGTGGAATGAAAGACCTGAAAACCTGAAAGCATGAATTTCTAGGGCTTGAGTTCAGGAAAGAGCAAACCAGATCAAAGACAGCACTGGTGCTGCAACGTCTCCTGTCCTAGGGGTGGGTCAAGAGGGAGCTGATTATGGTCTCAGTTAGACACTGAGCCACCAGATCTGAATTTTGCAAAACAGAGGTTCCTGGACATAAAGTTTGGATCTGAGATGTCTGAGGGCCTCTAGTTATGTTTCTCCAGCCTCTAGATTACTGTGACTCTGAGTGGGATTTGCTACCATGGGCATGAACTTATAAATCTAAGACAAGTCTACTACCGTTTGACTCTTAGACTATCACTTGATATTAGTGACAATTAGAGACCACATGAAATTATCAGCCTGGAGACGTGTATGTATAGTCAGAGAGTGGGAGAACGGAGTCACAGACGAAAGCTGGGAGCTGATGCAGTAGTTAGTAGAAGACAAAGGTAAACATCAAGACACGGTCTCTCACAAAGTATGAGTGGTGATGCATCAGCACTGGCTAACCCAAGCCAGTGACATGACAGTGGCACCAGTCCTGTGGCCGTGACCACCTGGTGTTGTCTTCAGCCCAGCTCCCATTTCCCCAGTGTAGTACTGCGGTATTAAGATAATTTCCCTGCACAGTGATCATTTGAATTAACCACTGTTCTTTTCATAAAATATCTTCCTTCACTGCCATGCAGCTGTTTCGTATGTTTAATCTACATTCTGGTTCCTCCCTAGGCTGAAGCACTGCAGCCCCACTGCTGGAGGAAAGCAGACGCAGTCAGGAGACGTGGGCTCTTAACTCTAGTTCTTTTGTTGTCGTTGACAAAACCGATGCAGAGCTTTTGGTGTGCTCACTTCTGCTCCAAGACCCTTAAAATGTTGGTTCTTGCATCGATTGAGCCACTCAGCTGCTCACACTCACCTAAAATTGCTGTCCTGTGCCCTCTCCCTACCACCAGCTTGTTTGCTATTTACTGTAGCATCTTTATTTTAAGGGCTTTTACTTTGATGTGAGCTGCCTGCTGCTAGTTCGAGTCAGGCTGGGTGAGCCCTACCCTTAGTAAGTTTGTGGAGAAGACAAAACTGAGGGGGAGTGTTGATTTGCCTGAGGGTAGGAAGGCTCTGCAGAGGGATCTGGACAGGCTGGATCGATGGGCTGAGGCTAACTGCACGAGGTTCAACAAGGCCAAGTGCTGGGTCCTGCCCTTGGGTCACAACAACCCTCAGCAGCGCTACAGGCTTGGGGAGGAGTGGCTGGAGAGCTGCCCAGCAGAAAGGACCTGGGGGTGTTGGCTGACAGATGACTGAAGAAGAGCCAGCACGGTGCCCGGGTGGCCAAGAAGACCAACGGCATCCTGGCCTGCATCAGGAATGGTGTGGCCAGCAGGAGTAGGGAAGTGATTGTCCCGCTGTACTCAGCACTGGTGAGACCTCACCTTGAATCTTGTGTTCAGTTTTGGGGTCCTCTACTCCAAGAAAGTCATGGAGGTGCTGGAGTGTGTTCGGAGAAGGGCAATGAAGCTGGTGAAGGGTCTGGAGAACAAGTCTTATGAGGAGTGGCTGAGGGAGCTGGGATTATTCAGCCTGAAAAAGAGGAGGCTGAGGGGACCTCCTCACTCTCTACAACTACTGAAAGGAGGTTGTAGTGAGGTGAGGATCAGTCTCTTTTCCCATATAACAAGTGACAAGACAAAAGGAAATGCGCTTAAGTTGCATCGAGGAGGTTTAGATTGGACATTAAGAAAAATTTCTTCACCGAAAAGGGTTGTCTACCGTTGCAACAGGCTGCCCATGGCAGTGGTGGAGTCGCCATCCTTGGAAGTATTTATAAGACGTGTAGATGTGGTGCTTAGAGAGAGAGTTTATTGGTGGACCTGTCGATGCTGGGTTAATGGTTGGACTGGATGATCTTAAAAATCTTTTCCAACCTAAACAATTCTATGATTGATCTTGTTGACGTCACTAAGTGACAAAGTGCAGCGCAAAGGATCATGCTAGAAGACGAGCAGGTCACAAGAGCAGAGTTTATTAACCTGATGCTTCACCTACTTGTTCACACTGTTTTGGATTAGAGGAAACTTCTCTGTGCTGTTGTGAGGCAGTTCAGACTCATACTGATTATAGTTTAGTGGTGACCTGGAAGTGCTAGATTAGTGGTTAGATTGATGATGTTAAAAGTCTCTTCCAACCAAAGAGATTCTGTGATTCTGCTTCGCTTTTAATAAGTCCTTATAGTACTTCTGCTGGAGTTTAAGATTTTTTCAATTTTTTTCTTTTTTTTTTGATATGAGAGCAGAACACCTACTGTAATAGGGCTTGATTATGGGTTTGGAAGTCATCACAGGACAAATCAATGTCATTAATAAGGAGTGTTATTGTTTATTTTTTTCTATTGATTTATTTATTTACTCATGTATTACGGCAGACTACACTAAACTCTTGTTTCTCCTCACTGTTTTTATCCTCTTAAGAACCCGCAATACCCTTCAAGGAAAAACTGAAAGATCTTGAAGTGAGGGAGAAAGAGTCTGCCACCTTCCAATGTGAAGTGCCTGTTCCTAGCACAGAGACAGCTTGGTTCAAGGAGGAAACCAAACTCCGGCAGAGCAAGAAATACAACATTGAAGAAGAGGGCACGTATCGCCGGCTCACTGTCCAGAATGTCACCACAGATGATGATGCTGTTTATATCTGTGAGATGAAAGAAGGCAGCAGGACTATCGCGGAGCTGTCTGTCCAAGGTAGGAAAAGCTTTTGCTACTTCAGTTTGGCCAAGTCGATTAGATTAGATATAAGCAAGATCTTCTTCACTGTGAGGGTGATGAGGCACTGGCACAGGCTACCCAGAAAAGCTGTGGATGCCCCCTGCTTGGAAGTGTTCAAGACCAGGTTGAATGGAGTGTTGAGCAGCTTTGTCTAGTGGGAGATGTCTCTGCCCATGGCTGGAGGGTTGGAACTACATGATCTTTAGGGTCTTTTCCAACCCAAATAATTTTGTGATTCTATGATAAATCCCACCTATCCAGTGTGAAATTCACCCAGGAGAATCCAGTCTCGACGTTGTGAATGGAATTTACCCCATGCATGCATGCAGTGAAGAACAGGACACTCGCTTACGGTGGGGAGGAGAGCCACGTGTGGTTGGTCAGTGGGTCTCTGGGTCTTCTGCCAGGGTGTATATGGGACACAAGGTCAGGGAGGGAGGACAGATTGTGTTGCTGCACAAGATAGGTCATCTGGTGGGGAGCTATGCTTATAGGGCCTTCCTAGAAGGCAAAGTCCTTGAGCTGTAGCTTAGCATTTTAGACTTTCCTTAACATGGTCCCAAACATAGGACATGTCCCCCGGCACCGTCTCACACACATCTTGTGTGCCATCCAGTGAACACAACAGTGAATCTTGTCAGAGAGTGATGGGAAGCTGAGTTTTCAGCTGTGTTTTATGGCCCTATGTGTGGTGCAGACTGCAGCCAGCACCAATAGTTTCAGGTTGGAAACCAGATCCACGCTGCAGATCGCCGATATCTGGAGCTGTTCTCTGGAGTCTGGAAATGAGAAAGGCAAAATATAGATCCATGTCCAAGTCTTCTGAGTCCAGTGGTTTAGGACTGAACTGTAAGTAGGCATAAAGTCAGGCTTGGTGTAGGCGTCTCAGTGAGTAGACACACACATCAGAGACACAGGCATATCTGCAGAAGGGGCCATTGGTTCTGAGCTCTCTGATTTGCTGTAGGAGCAAGAACCTACTCATGCAGCTACAGGACCTACAGTGTTGATTTTAATGATGCTTATGCTGGTGACGTTGTTGCCTCCTCTTGCATGAACTGGAGACTTGTCATAGTTACAGGTTTACTCCCGACTCATTTGAAGCCTGACTTTACTCCCAGTCAAACCAGAAGTTGTTCTTTGCTGCATATATTGGTGCAAGACAGGTGGGACATACATCCTTGTGAGAATGCCTTTTTGTACCATTAGCAAAGAGTTGAGAGTGCACATGGATGGAGGCAGCAGGGAAAATTTAGTCTGGAGACACAGCAGAGTTCAGACAGACACCTTTTTGTTGCATCTTCTGTTAGTTCTAGACTAGCCAAGCACTGTAAGTGTGTTTGGTCCCAGTAGGGGAGCTGTTTTATTGATTTGTGCTATGGTGCTGTGGCATATTCCACTGGTTTAGTGCTACAATAATGGCTGGACTCAGTGATCTTAAAGGTCTAAACAATTCAATAATTCTATGACTGAACCAGGTATAGCTCTCAGGAGGGAAAGGAGGCAGAACTTTGCCAGCAGAACCCTGTGCCTGCTCTGGGGGCAGAAGTTCTTGGAAAGGACACAAATAAGTGAAAATCATTCCGTGTGAATTTCTGGGTTGACTCTAAGAAGAAATCTGAGTTTTTCAGTGTATTTGCTATTAATCTACGTGACTGGTGTGTTTGTCAGTAGTGATTATGTAACTTGCTGGGTACTTTGATGGAAGAAAAATCCCAAAGACAGACAGAAGACCTGTCTGGTTTAAGACTGACCTACTTTAGCAAAGATTTAATTTGAATTCCTAGCATATATGGGCACGGAAAGCTGTATCCCTGTCAAATTGGTTCTTGGCGAGGCCGCGTACCTTGCATTTACCCAACAGCAGATTACGTGTGGAAGGCTAGAAACATGAGCGACTGTAGTCATACAAGATTACTTCTCTCTTTCTGAAGGCCAAACCAAGTCCTTGGGATTATCTGTTCTGTACAACTCAGAGCCTAGGAATTAATTTGGGAATGTCTGCATAGTGTCTACAATGTTTTGATTAGGTGAGAGCTGTTGGCTAGCCCTGCTGTAGTCTGGATGATCCAGTGTTGCCAGAGACTTTAATATCTGCTATGTGCTGATCGTAATTATTTTCTTAATTAAAGGGAACATCATCAAGAAACTTCCACGAAAGACTGCGGTCTCCGTAAATGACACAGCCATCTTCTGTGTGGAGCTGGACAATGAATGCCAGAACATCCGATGGCTGAAAAATAAAGAAGAAGTGAAACCCAGTGATCGAATCTCCATCACAGGCTCCGGCAAGAAACATACCATGATCATCCGAGAGTGTAAGATGGAAGATGCTGGTGAAATTGCCTTCCTGGCTGATGAAAGCAGGACTTCTACCCAGTTCACTGTGACCAGTAAGCTTCACTTTTATTTGGCCTTGGTGTTGTGTCTTCCCCCACACCAAGTACACCCATGGTAGAGCTGTTGGTTCAGGTACCGCTATGGTAACTCTGTTGTCCTAAGACAGCAGAAGGTTCGATGTCTGCCACAAAAAGCCAACAGCCTGAATGTGGGTGTTGCGAGATGTTATGGAGAGATCTAAACAGAGAGAGGAGTCCTGGGGAAAGAGCACAGCACAGACATGTCTTCTCTGTACCATTGTCATTTTATGCTGAAATGAGCACAAAATAATAACTGAGTAAAAAAGGGGGAAAGGGACATGTGTCTTCTCTCCCTCGGGAGGTGCTTAAAAAATAGTGTATGACTTGTGTACAAAACAGCCGCCTTGCTCTGTTGCACACAGAGCGCTCCATCGACACACTGACCAGCATTTTCCAAATTCTTTGGTGTCTTTGAGGGGCATTTATCAATTTTTGCTATGGAGCTAACACCTCTTGTAGCAAACGGGGACCGCTTACATCTGCCTCTCTCTTTGCTGAGGATTTGGAGGGGACGGTCAGCCAGCAGTCAATTCCTTCCCTGGAGTTTTGAGCCCACAGAGACATAAGGGTAGCTTCTGGGTATGCTGGCTCTTACAGGGAAGTAGATGAGTGCCCTGAACATCTTTGGCAGAGTATAGAGTTTATTTCCGTTCTAGCAAGCAAAAACATCTGTGAAGGAACATCTACATGCACACACATGAAGCATTAAAGAGGCAGCCAAGGGTTCATCGCATCCGACTTTGATTTTAGTTTCTTAAGCTGTTTGCATTAAAGTAATATATGTATATGTTTGTATAGATATAAACCTGCAAGAGAAAGGGGAAATGCTTCCTCTTCAAAGTATTTTTCCTTTCTTTTGAGGAAATCAGCAAAGCCATGTGCTCTTTCTTCCTCTCTTTGACATGACAAAGCTGGCAGGACCCTCTGAATTGATGGTGGCTATGCTGAAAGAAGGGATCTTTATTCTGCTCAGCTTGGCTTGGGGAGACTGATATAATATGGGGGCTGAAGAATTCCTTCAGCTGGCACATCTGATCTGAGCAAGGGCTGATAGAGAAGGAGCAGCAGGTGCCATGTAGTTGAGATTGGACCCAAAATGAAATTTTGATGAAGTTGCTTAATTTTATTTAGCTTTAATTTTGATGACACTGCATTTCCCAGGCAAGAGCTACTTCGTTTAAGATGGAGAACTGCATGTGGCTTCTGGTTCTGCTGCAGTTTTGGTTTTCATGTGAACAAACCATTCATCCTAATCACTCTTTGGGAAGAGTAAGGTTTCTTTTCTCCCACCACTACTTCAAATTGCAATTAGCCAGTGGTAAAAAGAAATCTTTAAATAAAGATTTATAGCTGCTGTGTTATCTAAACTTGGTTGGGGCATTCTGATGCTCTTGGACTGAAATGAAAAAAAGATAAATACTGAGGCAACTGTCACGTTTAGCATGGAGACAGTTTCTAAGATATTTGGAAAACCGTTAACACCCGCCCAAGCTCTTCTTCAATGGGAATGACAAAGTTCAGTTTGGTTTCAGACTCTGCTGTTTATCAGTTACAAAGCAAGTGTTGATTCATGGGATAGAGAAAGGTAAGAGGCTGCCTTCCCCCAGGCAGGTATTTCTGAAGAAAATATCACATTACCATTTCTGACGGTAAGGTCAAGAGATCCGATTCCAGGGTCTAGTATTCAGCTTAATGCTACACGAATGGCCCCTTTGGCATCCAGCTCTGACCAGCAGTAACTGACAGGCTGGCAACTGGGCATCCCAAAACACTTACGTGCCTCTTTATGTAATGAAGGAAAAGTGTTTTGCATTGAGATTTCCCATTTTTAACCTTCGTGCATATCTGATGAGCTGCTTGAACTATCCTGTGTGCTACGTCCATGTCTTTTTCAATCAGCTGGAGGGGATTGGTGGCGGCTGTTCTAATAACATTTATCAGGCAAGCAATGCTGATTCCTATGAAGAGCGGCTGAGGGAACTGGGTTTGTTTAGTCTGGAGAAGAGGGGGCTGAGAGGAGACCTTATTGCCCTCTACAACTACCTAAAAGGAGGCTGTAGTGAGGCTGGTGCTGGTCTCTTCTCTCTAATTCCTAATGACAGGACAAGGGGAAATGGCCTCAAGTTGCGTCAGGGGAAGTTTAGATTGGATATTCGGGGGAAGTTCTTTACTGAACGAGTGGTGAGGCACTGGAACAGGCTGCCCAGGGAGGTGGTGGAGTCACCAACCCTGGAGGTGTTTAAAAAAAAAGTAGATCCAGCACTTGAGGCTGTGGTGTAGTGGTTGGGTGTGCTGGGATGAAGGCTGGACTAGATGATCTTCAGAGGTCCCTTCCAACCCCTAACGTTCTGTGATTCTGTGATTCTGTGATTCTGTTATTCGCTCGGTATCCTGCGTTGGTACTATGCCTGTTTTAAAGATGGGTAAACCGAGGCAGAGAGATTAGTTGTTGCAGAGTTTGTTTTTTAGGCCAGGCTTATTGTACGGGCTCCCTCTATAGTCATGAGTTCTTGAGTATCTGTAATGTGTGATTTGTTTTGCCCATCTCACACACCTTCTGTAAGATGGGGTGAATGGCTCCCAAGTGTGCTCTTCTCCGTGGGATTACAGTTGGAGTCTGTTTAGACCAGACACCTTTCAAATAGCCAAAACTAAATGAAATGAATCCTTTACTGTGTCAGTAGATGTGTAACTAGAGCGTATCAGGTAATTCCTATCTTCTTGACCTTATCAGCTGCAGCACATAGCGAATAACACTGTGGGGACTTAAGTCCTCTCTAAAGGGTTCAAGAGGAGTGAGAGGGTGAACGTAAATCTTCGTTATGCAAATACATGCAGGGATGTATTTGTGACCACAGCTACTGTAAAACAGCCACACATCCTCAGTTGTAGGGTCTCATGGTAGGGACATGTCTTTGTTTGCTTTTGAAGTTAATTCCCTGACCCCAAAAGCTGGCTCTGTATAAATTACTAAACCAGAGATGCTCAGGGATAGCTCTCGCTCTTGGGAGATGGAGGCACAACACGGCTTCTGAATGGGAATAGCCTAGAATTCAGAAGCAGGACAGTGGGCAGATACCCGCATAAAAGCATCTACAGAGAACAACCAAGCCTGTGTAACAAGAAACTGAGATCTCCATAACTCTGAAAAACTCACGGTGGATTTATTCATGTCTATTTTTACTCAGATCATGTAGGCAGCAATGGGTGGAGGGAGCTGTTTCTTTTCATCACTGAGCTAGATTGAGGCGGGAGCGGGCTGGCCTTCGCAGAGGGCGATGTGATCTGAGATAGTGAGAGAGAGGGGAAGGGGAGGACCAGCATCGTACAGGGGCACCAGGGAAGTAGCAAATAGCAGTTGTTTCCATTCTGGCTAGAGAAATGAGCATGAACTCAGACTGAGCTTGCATGCAAACACGGGGCCGTACAGGTCTCCGGCTGCAGCGAACGCCTGAGCCTGGCACTTGGACTGGAGGGAGCCAGGGACACAGCGCGTGTGTGGCGTGATCAAATAAATGACCTGCTTGGGCAGGTGGTTGAGCTGAGGGAGGAGGGAGAGAGGCTGAGAAGCATCAGGGAGTGCGAAAGTGAAATCGATTGGTTGAGCAACACTCTGAGGCAAAGACAGCAGGAAGAGGCTCCACAAGTGGAGGATCCCCTCCCTTCCTGTCACCAGGCCAAAGGATGGGACCTAAGGGACAGAAGGGAATGGAGAGAGGTCAAAGAGTCAAGCAAAAACCCTCTCGCCCCACCCTCTTACCTTTCCAGTCATCCATAGGTATGGGGGCTTTGGGAATTGAGGGCCAGGTGAGTGGAGATGGAGACAAAGATCCACCCAGTGAGTTGCCCAGGGCTTCTCTCTCCCCACCACGTCTTAGGACTTCTTCAGTTAAGAATAAAAGTAGAGTAATTGTAGTAGGCGACTCTCTTCTGAGAGGAACAGAGGGCCCTATCTGTCGACAAGATCCAACCCACAGGGAAGTCTCCTGCCACCCTGAGGCTCGCTTTGGGGATGTAAAATGAAGCTCCCTGGTCTGGTGCATCCCTCTGATTATTGCTCTTTGTTAGTTAACCAGTTTGGTAGTGATGAGGTTGTAGAGAGAAATCCACCTGCAGGGCTATAATATCGTTGCTGTGACAGAGACATGGTGGGATGACACCTGTGACTGGAGTGTGGGAATGGAAGGATGTCGTCTGTTTAGGAGGGACAGGCAGGGAAGAAAGGAAGGAGGCGTTGCCCTTTATGTCAGTGATGGGTTGGAGTCCACAGAGCTCTGTTTGGGCATGGATGGGGAAATGACTGAGACTTTATGGGTCAGTGTGGAGAAGCACGCACGAACTCCAAGATGGTGGAAAATGGAATTCGCTTTATTGCAGGCAGACACACTTAGCTTCTTAGCAAGAAGCACTATTTGTGGATTACAAACAAGAGATCAGACTATGCAGCCAGGGTTGTTATTAGCTTATGTACTCCTCCAATCATACTCTTATCACACAGGGAGAACAGACTTTCCCAGGTCTGTGTTGATCATACTCTCCATTCACTCCAACGCACATCTTGTGTACGAGAAGCCTCTTATCTGTCCATTCTCATGAGCAAACTCTCAACATGAGCTGTACTTGGCTGGTCAGGGTCTCTTTTCATAATTAGCAAGCAAGAGTTATGTACTTGTTTAGAAAAGAGCTCAAGGACAAGAGTCTTAATTCTGCAGCTCAGTGCTGCCGGCACAGCTAACTGTAAAGTGTAGCCACAGGTCAGGATTAAACAGATGGCACCAGCAGGTGACATTGTAATGGGCATCTGCTACAGGCTACCTAGCCAGCGTGACCAATGGGATGAGGCTCTCTATAAACGGATAGAAGTGGCCTCACGTTCGTAAGCCCTGGTCCTAATGGGGTACTTCAACCACCCTGGTATCTGTTGGAGCGACAGCACAGCAAGACATAAGAAATCCAGCAGGTTCCTGGACTGCATGGATGACAGCCTCCTTCTTTAGGTGGTAGAGGAGCCTATGAGAAGAAGCGCTTTTCTCGACCTTGTTCTTATCAACAAGGAGGGGCTCAGGAACATGCAGCTCAAGGGCAGCCTTGGCTGCAACAACCACGAAATGATGGAGTTCAGGATCTTTAGGGCAATGAGAAAGGAGAGCAGTAAGCTCATGACCCTGAATTTCAGGAGAGCTAACTTTGACGGCCTCAGGGATCAGCTTGGTGGAATTCAGTGGGAGGAAGTTCTAGAGGGAAGAGGAGAGCTAACTTTGACGGCCTCAGGGATCAGCTCGGTGGAATTCAGTGGGAGGAAGTTCTAGAGAGAAGAGAGGCCCAGGAAAACTGGTTAACATCCAGAGATCACCTCCTTCAAGCCCAAAAGCTATGCATTCCAACAATGAGAAAGGCTGGTAAAAACACTAAGTGGCCTGCATGGATACCCACGTTGCTCCTGGACACTCTCAAATACAAAAAAGTAGCCTACAGGGGCATGGAAGAAAGGACAGACAACCTGGGAGGATTACAGTGAAGCTGACAGAATAGCCAGGGTTCAGGTTAGGAAAGCTAAAGCCCTGTTGGAATTAAATCTGGCTGGGGATGTCAAGGACAGTAAGAAAGGCTTCTATAGATATGTGAGTGACAAAAGGAAGACTAGGGAAAGCGTAGGACCACTCCAGAAGGAAACAGAGGAGCTGATCATGCAGGATATTGAAAAAGGCTGAGGTGCTCAATGACTTTTTTGCTTCAGTCTTCACTGGTAAGGGCTGAAAAGTTATGCCTATGAATTGTTCATTGTAGACTTCTTGTCTGTGCAGAGAATTGTAGTATTGCATATAAATCTCGTGTGCTCAGCTGTGGAGGTAGGAGTGTTGTGCAACTTTGTGCAACGTAGCCCCAAAGCACCTTCTGTCCCTTCTCTTGCTTTCTGTCTCACACTGATGTTTCATGGAGAGCAAGACTAGCTTTTAGTCCAGTGTAAGCTTTTCTGTAAGGCACAATGGCTTTCCTGCTCTGACATAAACTTCTTGCTCTGTTTTTGTTTGTTTGTTCGTTTTCCCATGTTCAGCTCCCAAAAAACCTCCCACCCAACCCCCAGCTGACCCTGTGGTGAAAAATAAAACAGAAACCTCAGTGACGCTCGCATGGTCCCCTCCCAAGATGGACCGCCCCATTCCCATCGATGGCTACATCGTGGAACGCAAGAAACTAACCGGCTTTACCTGGGTGAGGTGCCATGAGTCCCATGTCCCTGTCCCCGAATTCACAGTAAGCAACCTATCAGAAGAGGCTGATTATCAGTTCAGAGTGTCTGCAGTCAACGCCTACGGACAGAGCCCCTACCTGGAGTTCCCAGGGAGCATGCACCTTGGTGAGCACAAAACCATCATGAAATGGGGCCGATCTGTGTTGTTTTGCCTAGTGGGTGCTCTAAAGACATTTGTCCTGGGTTTGAGGAGGATAGAGGATTTGCACAGAACTTTTTTCCCATCGCTGCTAGTTCTCCTGTCTCATTTCAACCACTGTCCGTCACCAAGGTGATGGTGGTTGAGTTTCTGTGATAGAGCTGCCAACATGCTTATGTTCCAATACCTCACAACAGGCTGTGTGAGAGGCAGAGCTCTCTGCAACGGACCTTAATCCTGTAAGTGCTTCTTCTAGCTCTGGTATGGAAGGGAAAATTGACATGGGGATTACAATATAATTGTCAATATATAAATATTGACAATATTGCACCTAAAGAACAATTATGGATGATCATGCTGTCATGAAAACCAGGTTCCAGTCAGTCTCTCTTCAATCTCAGAGTTACTAGGAGAAAAATGGGCATTTCACTTTATTCCTAGAGTGTCAATATATCAATAGAATAATTGTGAGCAATGAGACTTTGTCTTTCTTTGTTTCGTTGCACCGGACAATATCTGGACAGACTTCGGTTGTGTCTTGTTATAGAGTCATCCTTTTCCCTAGCTATCTCAACAGGTCTGGGTGTTCCTAGAGTATCTTGAAGTGACTAGCAGGCTGGGAGGCCACCTTCAGATCATTCTGAAATCTAAGAATAATACTGATTATTAAATAAATAGCACACTTGCTAGGGAACCTAGATGTTTTACGCTTGTTGACCAGGCGTGCCTTGCCTTCAGTGCAAACTGTAGAAAGCTGCAGGATCTTATTCTCAAGCCTTGTTTACCCCCAAAACTTTGTTCTTAGGAAGAACCATTTTCTGGAGTAGCAGTCTTGTGTCCTTTGATCTCAGAGATATGTTATTTTTCTCCCCCAGAACCTGTCCTGGCTGTGAAAACCCCCCTGACAACCGTTGAGGCTGTACCTGGAGGGGATGCCCTCTTCACTGTTGACCTTACAAAAACATGTTCCGGCGCTTGGTACCTTAATGGTAAAGTCTTACAGGAAAGCGAGACCTGTATCATTAAGAGAACTCAAACTACTCACACCCTAATCATAAAGAATGTCACCAAGAACGATGATGGAGCAGAAGTGAAATTTGTTGCCAATAATGTGGACACCAGCACCAAGATGAGAGTGAAAGGTATTTACTTTGGTCATTGCGCTTTCTTCCTCCAGTCAAGGGTCAGTTTTCTCTGTGACTTGATGGTTAGAACTGGGGTCAGAGGCTTTTACTAATTCCTGGTGCGTAGGAAGTACCTGAAATCACATCACGTGAACTAACGTGGTCCCTGGTATTGACCTCACCACGATAGCACGCAGTTCAGAGTAAGTTGGTACCTAACTAGACGGTTTAACATCAGCTCATGAATTTCTCTAGTTCACAACCATTGTTCACTGGATTCTGTCACCAGACCTACCACTGATCTACCACTCATCTACCTTAGATGAGTGATTTCAGCTCCGTATTCAACTAGTCTTTCTGACTGTCGTAGTCCTTCAAAAGTAAAGGAGAGTTAGTCACTAACAAAGGTTTCTTAGTTTACCACAGATGTGTGTGATGCACAAGTTGGTATTATGTAATCCAATTTAATATTGAGAGCTGGGTGCTCCAGTTGTCCTCTACGAAATGATGCTGACATCTGTAGCTACACACATTGCATGGCAAAAGGTGATGAATAGGCATTCGTTATGGAAGAATGGGGTTGACTGTGGGTGAAAATCTCTGCAGAAACATGTTTAGAGTGTTATTAATCAGTACAAAAGTGTGCACTTTCTTTTTGCGTTTTTTTTTTTTTTAAGTGATTCTGGCAATACAGATAAATTCTCTGAATAGGAAAAAAAAAAAGCTCAGTATTGACCTGAGTATGAGGGCAGGAGCAAGATCTAACACTTTTTCCAAGATCTTGCACTCTATAGGAGAGTCGTATAAGGGATGTGTTATTGTGATATAACTTGAACTAACAAAAGTTCTGTGTTGTTTTTTTCTTGACAGGTGTTGCAGTGAGATTTACCAACAAGAGCAGAGATATAGAAAAGGTCTCTGCTCGATTGCGAGAGGAAGCCAAACTTCAGGCCGAGCTTTCGGACTCTGAAGTTACCGTGAAGTGGATGAAGGATGGGAAAGAGCTCAAGGCCAGTGAAAAACATGAAATTCAAACTGTGGGGAAGAGGCACATCCTGAAAATTCGCAACACTGCAGCAGAGGATGCTGGAGTTTATGAATGCGTCTGTGAAGGGGATAAAATGCTCTATCAGCTCTCAGTGAAAGGTAGGGGTGTGCTTGGGTTGCTTTGTATTAATGGCTTGTTCCTGACTTAAGCCAAAAAAGTCATCAAGGGACAGAGAGGGAGTGCTCAGGAGGCACTGCAGGGAGCTGTGTTATCTCCCCACCAACATCTAGTTTTGCCAGTGTCTGTAATCCCAAAGTAGGATATTTTGGGAGTAAACTTGGCCTCTAACACCATCTTAGTGGTAAGTGCAGTGCTTTCACTCTAGTTATGTCTTGTTATTTCATGAAGTTGTGTTGTGGGTGCTAAGAAGGTGCTGTTACAATGAAGAAATTCAGCCTCAGGGCCAGGATGTGATGCACGAGAAGATCCCATGTCTGCCCCGTACTTGCTATGTGATATCAGACAAATCATTGAGGAATCAACTCAGTTCTGATTAAAGTTTTCACAAACCAAGATCATCTTGGCATTGTGGGATATTTTTTTTATTATTTGCGTGGAGGTTTTTGGGGAATCTCTCAGTACCCTGGTGATTAAGAAGAGACTTTTCCAGGGCACACTGAGGAGCTTGACTCACTGCTATTTGTGAGGTATTCAGATGGAGGGTTGCACAGAACAAATGGCAAAATATCACTTTTTTTTTTTTTAATATTTCCCATTTGTTACATTTGAACAAGAACTGTTTTATAGCTACTCTGTTTCTCAACTATTCTCGCTTTCATGGCAGTCCCTTCCCTTCTGACTACCTGCTACCTTGCTGGTGGGCACATCCTCTCCCAGAGCAAGATATGAACCTTTATCCTAAAACGAAGAGCATTAACCCACCCTCTCATAAGCTTTCCCATCGATGCAATGGTGAACTAGTTCATACTTTCTCTACCTTGAATGGGACCAGGTTTTGCCTGAAAAGCCTCAGCGTATCCCCAGATCATTCCCAATGGGTATCATCTAGATGTCTACTGAGATTCAGAGCGTAAAACCTAACTCTAAGGTTGTCTAACCTCTGTGTGGTGTGAGTTCTGTAGCTCTTTTGCTTTGAACTGGCAAGTTTAAAGGCATTTGATTTCTGTGTTCTGTCTTTTATCTGAGCGCTCGCATTCTTCCCAGCAATGATCATGCTCTTTCTACACAGAGTAAGTATGAGGTGCTTAATCATAGTGTTCTGCTGGCTTCTTGCCCTCCTTGGTCTCTGTAGAGACAACAAAGCCTCACAGCAATATGTGTTTTTTGCATTTGACAACTTCCTTGCTTGATTACTCTTAAAGAGCAAACTCAAAAGAGAGAGCTGAAATATAATTCAAAAACATCACTAAATCTATGGAGGGAGGAATTGCTCTCTACACATGGCAGCTGTCCTTAATTTTGGTTTTCTTCTCTCGTTCTCTGCCTCTTTACCATCATTTTTCATACTGGAATCTCCACCCACAGATTTAATTGAATTAGCTGATGGATATTTCCATGTGCATTTCACTGTAATGTGACTGTCAAATGAGTAATCAATGCTATTTTTTTAAAATCTGTGTTGACAAGCTGTAACTTAAAATATCTGCTGCTTGTAGCTTGATTCCTAGAGAACTGACCTTGATACATCTCATCCTCGTAGGATGAGGCTCTCCTAGTATTTTGCCATTCAAGATTGCCACCTTTTCTCTGTTCCTCCTGTAAATCAGCCACAGCCAGCGTCATTTGATGAGCAGGTCAGCTGTGTCTGGCACGTGGGCATCACGTGGCTGCCGAGAGGCCACCGTGCTGAGCCATGGCCAGAGGTGTGTCACCAGCTGGGCCTCCTGCCCAAAAAAGCCCTGCTAGAAAATGCACTTGTCATTTTGTCACTGCTGTTCCTCTGGTGCCATGAGACGTCATGTGCCAGCCATCCTCCGACACATGTCCTCTTGCATCGAAATAGGACATCGGAGATGTCTCCTTCAGGCAGCCATGGTTCACTCTAGTGAAAGGTGCATGAGTCCTATTGTGAGTGAGACGTCACGCTGAAGGTCCTGCCAACCGAGGAGATCGATGATGGTGAAACATCTAAGATGCAACAGAACATGGAAGACCCTATGCCAAGGGAGAGAGAGAGACCACGCAAGAGCAGAGGATGTGCTCTTGTGACCTGCAGCCCCAAGGAGGGCCTGTGCTGGAGCTAAGAACACTGCAGCTGGCGAGCGGGTCCTACACTGCTGAGAAGGACTGATGTGGAGGAGGAGGACTGTCTCCCATGAGATGGACGCTTCTTGGCATCGGGGGAAGGCTGCAAGGTGTCCCTCCTTGAGGAGGAAGTGTTGAGTAATGGCCAAACTGCGGCCTCCATCCCCTTCCCTGCTGCTCCACAGGGAGGGAGGAGGTAGCTGGGGAGAAGGAGGAGTGAGAAGTGCGTTTAGGCTCTGGTTGAATTTATTTATTTGTCTATCTCACTATCCTACTCTGATCTAGTTGATTTGGATAAACTGGTGGTGAATTAATGTTTTCTCATCAAGTTTACTCTGTTTTTTGCTCGTGACAATAAGTGGTGAGCGAAACCTCCCTGTCCTAATCTCAGTCCCGGAGAATTTGTCATTGAATTTGTTCCCTTCACATCCCTAAAGGAATGGGGCTGGGAGATGAGTGAGTGTCCGTGTAGCTCTCATTCCTGGTTGGGCAGGCTCAAACCACAATACAGTATCGAGAGTGAAAGCTAATAACTGATGTGCTAGCCATTATGCAGAGAGTTGTTATTTTGCATGGTGTGAGCATTTTCTTGTAATTTATGAAAAAGCACATACATCCTCAGGGCCTTGGGTTTAGTTATGTTGACTGCACAGTCCCAACGAACTGATTTGATTGTGTGGATTGTTTTAAAATATCACCAAGAAAATTATTTTCATTATCTGAAGGTAGATGGGGGCTGTGGGCTTAGACTCACAGTTTTAGCTAGGCTATTGGTGGATTTTTGAATCTTTACTTTGAGGTGATTAGTGACTCAGTTCTTCCACTACATGTTGATATGGAGCAAAATTTATTGTTTATCTTCTACGCTCCAGTTAATTTCCAGGAAGAAATTTCTTTTTGTTTTGATTCTGTGTGATATCTGTAAAGATTTTTAATGTAATATAATTTATCTTGATTACATTTTAGAGTCAATTTATTTGCCAGGTGGTTAAAATACAATGAGGAACAACCTTTGTTATTTTTCCTCTAGTTTACTTGTTTTATTTCTTTCCTCACCTCTCTCAGACTTTCTTAAAGCCTTTTTTCTAGGGCTTCCTCTCCTTTTGACTCAGCCTCCTGTGTTGTATATGTGCTCTGGCTTTTGGGCATGTGTTAATCAGATATTTGGTTTATAAAGGCTGGAAATTAGGCTGCTTCTCCATTAGATTCTAGTAATTGGATCCGTAGTTAAATATGTGTAATTAGTCTTCTGATAAATGAATAACTAACATAGATGCAAGTGTACATATTTACTGATGTCCACACAATTTTTTACCAGGGTTAGGTGTCCATGATCTTAGAAGTCTTTTCCAACCTTAATGATTCTATGATTCTGGATTTTGTTTCAGCACTTGCAAACTTTATAAACAAAGAGAAAAGTGGAGGAGTTGTCAAGGCCATTGCTGGAAAACAGGCTGAATTTGTTTCCGAGACCTCCGAGGCCAACATCATGGTTAAGTGGTACAAAGATGGCAAAGAAATCACAGCCAGCAAGAAATTCGCCATGGAAGATAAAGGAAAACTGCATAAGCTTGTGGCTTCAGCTGTGACAAAAGAAGATGAAGGAACATACACATGCAGAATTGGAGATGACACTCTTATTTTTGATTTAAAAGTCTCAGGTAAGCTTGTGATGAGAGTCAGGGAGCAGAGTCTGTGTTAGAATCTCAGGACTTCACTCGTTACGCTCGTCTTACAGTGCAAGTTGCCAGATTTTGGCCCACGATTGCACAGCCCTATTTCAGAGAGTCTGACCCTTCCTGTGATCCTTATGAAATCCACTAGAAGGGTGAATAATGATGCTGTTTTCTACGCAAAGCAGCGCGAGCTTTCGCTAGGGTTGGAGTAATGACACGAACACCACGTGGCAGAACAGGCTGATGCCACATCTGGCCTTTCTTCCTTTAGCTCAGAATGGTCTTTAAACCTCCTGACTAAGGCGGTCCTTACAGTGAAAGCTCTGTGAAAAAGCTCTCTGACAAGTTTAACTCCTGGTTTTGAGGGTTAAGCATCTCCCACTATTCCCCAAGGACACCGTGATCTCTGAGACGTCTCCCTGCAGTTCTGTGAGTGAAGATATTAGTTCGTGGCACCATTCTATGATTCTGTGCTGTGTCTCAGGAGGCATTCTTCTGACACCCAATCATAGTTTATTGCCACAACTATTAATACTATGTCATAGCTACATTGTCATAGAACCACGCACACATACGTACATTTACAGAGGTGAAATTATCAGCCAAGTGTGACTAGCAATGAAATAATGATCAGTAATTACTGTACTTTAACTTTGTGATGATAAGCCTAAATAAAGGCATAAGATGCTTTCTCTTTTTCTTTCCAGATGAAGCGGTTAATTTTGTCAACAAGCCCAAAACAACTCCAGAAATATCAGTCAGACCTTCTGAAAACCTGGAGCTAGTGTGTGAGGTGTCGGCTGCGAGCGGAGCCGTGGTATGGAAGAAGGATCAAACCGAGGTGAGGCAGGACCAGAGGACAACAGTCGTCTCCCAGGGGACACACCGCAAGCTCATCATCAAGAAAGTGACGCAGCAAGACCAAGGGAGCTATACCTGTGAAACAAAGGATGACAGAACAACATTCCAAGTCAAAGTCAGAGGTGAGAAAATGCTAGAAATGCCAAAGATAAAGGAGTATTCCAGTTTGGGTAGTATCTTATGTTCGGAGGATCACCTCACAAATTCTCTGAGGTGAAATATTTCAACTGTAGGATGTGATTTTTGGCCAACTCTCGTATAAATATTTTCTACACACTTTTCCTCCGCCATTAGTTGTCACCACAAAAAAGGAGGGGCAAGGATGGTAATTTCTGCACCTCTCACAATTAGCTGGCGTCTCTACAGAAAAACTCCTGCAGAATCAGTGTGAGAGGCCAGAACAGAGGTGTAGGGATAGATAAAAGGGAAGAGGGAGGTGTTTGAAATCCTCTGATTAGATGGAGAATGACTGAACTTGAGTGATTCAAATAGGCAGAAAAAGAGCAATGGATCCTGGATATGAGGATGTGAGTGCTGTTCCCTTCTGATTCAGTGCAAGCTTGAAGAGATGTAGGAAGAGAAAAAGAGAGAAGAGGGAGAAGGGTTCAGGCAGTGCCTGTTGGTGCCCTAAGTCAAGTATGTGCTCAAACTGTGAGGTTTTTAATCATTATCCCAGAATTCCCATACACCTATTTACCTTCTGTCAGCAAAATAGAGATTAAGGTGCTTTCTTTTCTTAATGGACCATCATGATACTGCCTGTCAAGGGCAAGTATGGTGAAACAGGGGGAACTTGACTGAGCTCTGGAGAAGACAACTGCAAAAAGCTCAGTGGGACTGTTGTGGCTTTCTTACAGAGACAGAAGACATGTTTACAAACAAGGAGAAGGTGCAGAAGGAGGTAAAAGCTGCACTATCAGAAAACGCCACGCTGAGCTGCGAGGTGGCCCAGGAGAAGACCGATGTGAAATGGTACAAGGAGGGCAAACTGATCACCTCGAGCAAGAAGTTCCAGGTGGAGTCGGAGGGCAAATCGCGTCGCCTGGTGGTGGGTCAGGTGGAGAAGAAAGATGCTGGGGAGTACACCTGCGAGGCTGCTGGCCAGAAACTGACCTTCAAGATTGTTGTCACAGGTGGGAGAAATGTTGGTTCTCATCATGAAAGGTCCATGAGTTCCACTTACTAGAATGCAAAATGATTCATTCTCTAGACTCCAGGGTCTATATGGAGAGAGGCTGATCAGACAACCAGCTTGTGTGCAACCACAGCGACACAGATGCCCACAGCTGGGTATCGTCATCAAAATGATTCATTCTCTAGACTCCAGGGTCTGTATGGAGAGAGGCTGATCAGACAGCCAGCTTGTGTGTATCCATAGTGCTACAGACGCCCACAGCTGGGTATCGTCACCTGTGAGATGTATCCCACTCAGTGTTCCTTGTTTTCTGATTTTAGAGTAAAGAAATAATAGGCACATTTATATATGCTGTTGTGATTTATGTGGAACAAGGTAGGGTCATCTCCCAGATGTGTAGGAAGATAGGTCTGGAACAAGTAGGAAAACAGACCTTCTCAAGAAGTACCTAGGGTGGGCAAGGCTTATGCTAAAGTTCCAGTGGTGGATGAGACTGGGAGATTATTTGTGCAGTACCTAAAGGAACAAAAAGTTGGATTTCTTGTAGAGATGGGAAGATCCTTGACTCCTGAGGCACCAAATCATTTTGCTTGAAAACAGCTGGTGTGTTGTCCACTGGCTGCACTGAGGGCCATGTTCCCTCTAAGTGTGTCTTAACTTTTGGAATGACACCATTCTGGAGCTGTAGAAGCTGTCATCTTTTTCATTTGGTTGTGAACATTTTGGACATACGTGTGACCTTTAAATTTCTTTTCTCATCCTGCAGAAGCAGAAGCAGCATTTGTCAATAAAGATAAAGTGAAGAAAGAGGTAAAAGCTGCACTATCAGAAAATGCCACCCTGAGCTGCGAGGTGGCCCAGGAGAAGACCGATGTGAAATGGTACAAGGAGGGCAAACTGATCACCTCGAGCAAGAAGTTCCAGGTGGAGTCGGAGGGCAAATCGCGTCGCCTGGTGGTGGGTCAGGTGGAGAAGAAAGATGCTGGGGAGTACACCTGCGAGGCTGCTGGCCAGAAACTGACCTTCAAGATTGTTGTCACAGGTGGGAAATATTTGGGTTGATATTTCATTCCTGTTTTCTCTGTCAAAATATCGGAAATGCTGTTAAAATGCTTTCTGATAGTGGTCTAAGCTAGCATTTCAGGGAGGTTATGTGTGACCTAGCAGATATAGAGATTTTGTGTAGGTGTCCTGATATCGTCTCCTCACCCTATACATGTCCTTAGGCTCAGATAGGGAATCAAGAGATAGGGAATCACTAGCTGGCACTGTGTCAATAGACCTCTTTAGTCTGATCATCAGTGCTGGTATTCCTCCTCTTGTTATTGCTGTTCTTCCAAGAAAGTCACTGCTTTCTTCCCTTTTTGTTTAATCTTTTCTCTACTCAGTGTCCTCTTTACCAAAACTGAGAATTTCTTCAATTACTCCACGGTCTGGCTGTGCAAAGAGACACATGATCACAGCCTCTTAACTCCCTGCACCATGAAGCTTTTGTGGGTGGTGAACAGAAATGGATACAGATATGTGCAACTTGAATTGCGATTTGTATTTAACTACTTTTCTCATCCCGCTTTTCCTCTACCTCTTCTTCTGTTATTGGACACCCACTTGTCATTTGTGAAGCTACAATATGTGGTGAAAATACTTGTCTGCCAAGTGATATTTAAACTGTAACATTTCCAAGATCTTTAGTTTATTGTGGTTGCATAGAGGATGTTTAGGAGTTGATTGCGGTGTACTGTCCTAAAAATTTTGTGTTGGCTGTACTGCATATACCTGAGGTCTGCTGAATCCAGAGGTGATGACTGCTCATTGCATTGTCTACAGCTATAATGGCCAGTCATGGCTCCAGGAATGTTTATTTGTGTCTGCATTTTTCTCCTTAATAACGTGATTTGGAGTCTGAGGATTTAATACTGAGGCTGTTCTTTCATTCTGACCACACTAGAGATCTGTTTGGGTTCAGGACATTTTACAAGTAGTCCAGTGAATTTTCTCTCAGGCTCCAGGCAGCCATGGACATGTCAGCTACATTTCTGAATTAAATGATAAGAAAGGGTTTGCGTTTTGGTTGGTTCATATTCATAACACTCCACTGTCTTTGCAGCCAAATGGCTCTGTTAACATATTTTTTTGTCTTATATTCTGAAGGAATCAGTTTTCTCCTCCGCTGTTTTTTAAGGCATCAAACACACTGAGACCATATCACTGGCAGAGGTCTGGCATTTCTTCAGCAGCGTAGAAGAGCAACTGTGTTGAGAGTCCATTGACTTTCCTCCTCGCAGCCATGCTGGAGACCTGAAGTCCTTGCAGGGTGTAGCTCAAGTGCTGTTCCCTTGTAAAAGTTGCAGTCTTTACCGCTCTCTCACTGTTTTGGGGCATCCTGTTCCCTCCATCTTCACTGTGCAATGTGCAACTGCTGCTGTAGCATAAAGCCTTGCTGCTCCGTGCAGCATCTCTTGTAAGCTACAGCTGGAGGACCTGGGGGTTCTGGTGGGCAGCAGGAT